ATATTAAAGAAGAGCATTGATTTCAAATGTTAGTTTGATATACTCTATTTAAAAACAAACCACCAATTTGTGATTATTTTCAGTATATGAGATTGAACTGGATTTAAATGATCTCATACTTATCGGTTCATCAAATTCTATGGTATCTACACCTTACAAAATATCAAAGTTTTGTGTAAGAATATTGTAGATTCTGCTAGATAAGGCAACCCGTACAACAAACGGTAAATCGGAGTTCTGTCTTTATAGAGATGACAAAAGTACTGTGTGACTTCGTGCGGCTGCACTGTAACTGGGATATCAGGCGAATTATAATGGTGATTTGTTACGAATTAAGATTGATTTAGAAGGATGAGGAAGAAGTTTTCCATCAAGTCAATTTCAATTCCTCGGAGTTTGATACAATATTTTTACTTATATTTATACCAAAATAACTGTTATTTTTGTTACGTTTATTCGGTTGGTCACTTCAAAGTAGCAAAAAAAAAATAAAAATAAAAAAAAATGAAATGAAATTGGAGCTTAACGTCCTAATGAAGACATGCATACGCTATAAAATGTCCTGTGAGGGGAATTTTGCCTGTACAGCCGTGATTCCGCCTACTCTTTGTCGAATTCCAGCTGTCAAGGGTTCTTTTACGTGCGCGCCAACGTCTATCCCGCACCGCGGATGTTGTCCTACCCGAATGACTAGATGTTTTTCCTACCCCGCTGGAAAACTTCAATCGAACCCGGGGGGGGGGGGGGGGGTGACCGAATGGTCTCTCATTGACTCAAGTGGCTTGGTTTCGATTCCTCGCTTGTAAGTGACAAGGAGAAGGGTCGCATGTTCAACCTCGTGGGTTTTCTCCGGGTTCTCCACCCCCCCCCCCCCCCAACTGCTAAAGAGCCCTAAGTGCAAAGGAATTATTGAAATAACCTAATTTGTGTCGAGTGCGACACCTCCCGCTAAGTGAGCTAGAGGCACACCCACTGAGCCACCATGGCACCTGTGGAGTAAATAACGGAAAGATAGCATTGAAAGAAATTTGATTATAATTCCAAAAGACTGATTTTATTAATGTATGCCGAGGTTACATCGAGTCAAAGTTAAAACAGCAACCCCTCTTTAAAATAGTTAATAAGTAATGCTTTGATTTATTTACTTCCTTTTTTTCAGATCAAAATCTGTCTTCCTTAAAACCTTTACGTCACTAAACTTTTGTGTAAACAAACTATTTTAGATAACAATTTTTTTTATTGTCGTTTAGATAAGTCTAAAATAGATCAAACATAACCACCCCGTTTTCTTCAAAGATGCATTATGGAAGATTAGAAAAGGAACAAGGAACTGGCAGTTCTCACTATAATAGTTAAAAACTAGATAATGTAAAGGGGATATGCTCAAAAATTTCAGTCAAATTGCTCCACTCTTAACCGAGATATTAGCGATTGAATTTTATGCCTAGCCCCGATCATCATTACTAAAATCGATGCGATAAAAGAAAAACAGTCTCGATTATCCATTTTTGGATTTAATCATCAATGGGCGTTGAGCAGCAGATCGAATTCAAATCAAGTGAAAATCCGACAACGCCATAAACCCACAAGAATGAGACAATATTGTTATTAACTTATAAAAACCAACCACGCTCTTCTCTTATCTTTAAATGGGGTTAAAATATGACAAATTATGGCCAAACTTACAAGCTTCAAGATTTCTCAAATAGGTTTGAAAACTAGTTCTTAAATTGGATCGGAAATGAAATGAGATGAAATGGCTTTTAATGTCCTACTGTTCTGCTAATGAAGACGGGTAAACGCCATACATTGTGCTATGAGGAGAAATTTGCCCGGACAGCGGCGCTACGGCCCACTCTTATATCGGTTTTTCGTCCCATCCGAACGACTAGACAACCGTCCTGCACCACTGGTAAGAGGAAACCACGCCGGAAAATCCCGTTGAACTTTCTCGGCCAACACCAAGAGCGAACCCGCGTCCTCCAAGCCTTTGAGCCAGCGCCTTCCTCACTTAGCCACCGTGGCTTCCTAAATTGTTAGGCTACCCAAATACGTGACGTTACGGAGGAAATATACAAAGGGCATTATTAAAGAATAATGGGGTTTACAGGAGCTAAATCTCTATTCCTTGGCACCTAGAAATGGGTCGCAACGCATATAATAATTAATAATATATACTGATTTACTGAAGAGTCCAAATGGAATGGCAGTCTTTGGCGTCTGGATATTCCAGTTTCATCGAGTCACTTCATTACAAATGGCGCCCGAAAGCATTCCGACACGCGATTCGTGTGCCAATTGTAAAATTTTGTCTTAGATATTGGCATCAGAAGCTCTTCTTTTTACGGTAAGATAACAACATCAATGTTGATTTAAACTGACCAATAAGTCGTGTTTCCAATGTAGAAGAATGTGGATGATATTGAGTTAGAGAATTGCCTCCTTTAAACACTTAGAGTTTGCTAAATTAATATACATATTCAAAAATTCGTATGATTAAAAACTGATTCATGACAATAAATGATTCTGGTTTTCATAAACTTTAAAAGGTAGGCTAGCTAATTAATGTTATCAGGCATCCTTGCTTTCTAGTCTAGCAATGTGATATGAGAATTATCAGCCACCATGTAAAAGAAATCCTAACGTTTAATAAGCGTAAAAATCCAATAAGATTTTGAGTATGGAAATATTGGAAATAATCACCGTGAACAATATAATATACATGCATTTAAGCCTTGAACCTGCAAATGATTAAAGATTTCAGTCCCTTATCAACCATAATTAAACGAAGAACTACATTCTATCATATAGAATAGCATTTAATACATCTCATCTTAGTCGGTGTACAGTCCAGTATTTGCTTACATCAAGATGAGGATGAATCTATTGTATCAACCCCGGGCTTCTATAACTTGCTATAAATGGATTGGATTTATTTTTTAGAGGATAATAAACTTTGACTTAGAGTCTAGAAAGTTACATCAAGATAAGCCTTAAAGGTCATCCTTGTCATAACTCAACCAGTCTATCTGTTGGAGGAACTATTGATGCCAGTTGTTATCATGGTTACCAGTTTTAAATCAAAGTTCAGTGAGACAAGTTCCTATCAAGTGTCCGTTACGTCATATTGGCTTTTTGGTTATATTAAGGGACGTTATATATGAGAAAATTAAATATAGATTTTTACCCTTTTCTCCAGTATCAATATATAAAATGAAAGTACACTCTGACATAATCAAACATGTCCAATGGCTGGTAGAGAATCACACTAAAGGTTGTATATCATATCAGATATTGGAAGGGTTCTTTATTTTAATCACAATCGACATATATAGAATCAAGTCAATATACTCAATTTTGATTGTCTCTTGCCGCTGGAGATTTTTACTGGCAATAACTATCAGATTAATTTTAACAGAGAGAAATGGAATGAAATGGGACTTAACGACTTACCTTTCTGCATCGACTGGGCTAATGAAGACGGGCTTATAGTATGCAGTGTGAGATGAGGGGAATTTTGCGCGGGCTATAACGCTACATCCTACTCTAGACACTTTGCCTTGCTGCCAAATCCCCAGGAACTTGCTCGAACAACACCTATATAAAAACCGGTATCTCCTTTTTGAAACAAAAATTATTATTAGAATCGTTCCTAGTTTTATACTTTTGAAAGTTCCTTAGGATTTTCGGCGTGGTTTCCGCTTGTCACTGACAGCTGGAAATAGAATTAAGAGTAGGCGGTCGCGTCGCTGTCCGGGCAAAATTTCCCTCATAGCACACTGTGTACGCCTGTCTGTCTTAGCTGGTGCAGAAAAGTAGGACGTTAAACCCTATTTCACGTGCCTTTGTATTTGTACTTACCTTACTATTTGGCGCAAATATATAAATAATACATAAGAAGGGAATGGTGGGCAGGAATAAAATCAGGTAGATGAGATTACGGTACCAACTGAGAGATTGTAGAAAGCCCATTTCAGATCCATACCAGATACTAGTCATATGTTGTTGGCAATTAGGATGTGCTACAAACTACAAAATATATAAACATATACTTAGTACATATATAAACATGACAGTTGCTAGGATTTTTTGAGGGGTTGGGAGCCAATGGGAGGTGGTTGGTCCGACGGGGTTTCCTTACCTATACCCAGAAAATTTTTTGAAAAATTGTTGTGTCATTGGTGATTTATTTTGCATCTATCTGGATGGGGGTGCTGCTTTATGTCTTTCAGGGGGCACACGCTTTTTATATTGGAGGTACGCAATTTCAGAGGCGGGTTTTGTAGCACCACACCCCATCGTGGCAACGGGCCTGACTGTATCGCATGTAGTTCAATTAATGTGACTAGTGAACAGATTCTGATATCAGAACAAACATGTAAATAAGGTGAACCAAAAACATCAAATTCAATTGGCGATAAAAACAGTACAATTCAACATTCGCCTCTTGTCTCTACAGGCGAGCTCAGTGCAATCGATAATCCATTATGGGAAGATGCTTCAAAGTTTCTCAGACGCTTTAATGCATATCTTGGAATATCTTTGGCATTACTTTCTTAAACGAATTGGAGATACTACGCTTATATTCGGTACCCAAAAGGGCATCCATAATGCATAATTCCTCAGACAGTCTAATAATATCGGGAATTATTTGACATTAGTTTCTTAAATGTAATTACCAACCCTGTCAGGTTGACCTTTAACATGGAGGCATTCCGAATCGCCGCAGTTCTCTTAAAACATTTCCCCCAAGACAAAGGCGTTTGCAATCGTCAAATTGAACATTAGTCCCGTAAACTTTGGATTAAAATTATGTTAAATTATGTTACCTTTCTCTCTTCATAACTAACAGCCATCTTTAATCTAAATAACGGATCTCTTGTAGAGGCTTCACCACTACCTTCACTTAATACAGCTTCTACTTCAGTTGTACCACGACATAAATCCATTAACTCACACGCAAAATTCATACATTGTTCAACTAAACTCAAATAATCACTCTGAAAAAAGAAGAAAAGAACATAATTGATAAGATACACGTAGATCTATTGGAGTTTAATTGATTGTTTTCCAATTTCCAGCTAAGTCTGCAGCATTAACATATTCTTTTGTGGTGGACGTACCCTAAACCAGATCATGATAATGTTGGTTTCAGTGATACCAAATTGTCCATTACTCATGACGGTGGTTTTATTTCTACTATACTTGTTTAATAATCTCGTTGATTGTGTTTTTTGAATGATATGAAATATTTATAATTATTGTAAAGGATCAAGTATCATACGTGGCTAGCAAAGATTTAATTCATTATCCGTGAATGTTTGGATGCTGTTGCTGACGAGGATTACATTGCTTTCTTTAAAGATGCTGATGATGCTCACAATGTTTCGCCATTACTGTGTGCATTCATGGTTGTCGACGATGTTACGTGTAATTGAGTTTTAATGATACAGTTGATGTGAGGATGCATCAAATAAAAGTATAGAAAATATTAAATGGTTCGTGTTTTGAAGGGAATATAATGTTAAAGATAAGATCGGTAACGCATTCAAACAGTCTCCCATCGAAAGAATTATCCCATAAAGACATTTCTAACTGCTACTAAAGACTCGGTTGGTGTTTAGCTTCCATTGAAAAAGTTAAAGATTGAACAATTTTAAGCATGGAAATAGTTTAAGAGATCTTTCTCGGGGGCTTCTGGCTGTCATAATAAAAGAACTTGTGCGACTTCTAAAGAGTTCCAATTGTCGCGGCTTTCACAGACATTTCAAAGGCTGTTTCCTTGAAGACATTTAACGGTTCTCATAACATAGAAAAAAACTTGTTGGCGGTTTGATATTAAAGTTATTTGGTTTTAGATAGAGATTTGGTTCATCAGTCAGTAATTTTATAATGTCTTCCATACGGTTGCTGGTTTATATGCCGTCTTCATCAGTCCAGTCGGAGCAGAACAGCAGGACGATAAACCCCCTTTCCATTAATTCTCTTTTTTAGCTCTGGGATTTAGGATAAAATTTTAAGTATTTATTGTAACGGGGTAAATCATGGCATCTTTCAGATAATGTCTATTGGCACAATTGATCGAACAATTTATAGCTGTGGGTCAGTCTTGGGTTTATTAGTTGATTTCAATGTTACTGACAGGACTAACAATAGTTTCATTACGGTTCCATTGACAGTCTGTAATAAATCCACAATGTTTATGTTGGGTAAAAAGTTACTCTGATCAACTTTATTAACTGGGTCCAATCTGTATGTGTACATATCCTTTACATTAATTCACGGTCACAGGCAATCAGAGACTGTGCGTTTACAGAAGAATGTGTTCAGTAGTGAGATTAGTTAGAATTTCTGTGTCGGTAGTAACTTGTCTACTTGAGTCACTTTCTATAAAAATAGAAGACACATAGAACTGACAATAAGGCTAAATAAGGCACTAGGGAATTAGCCTACATATGTCATAGAATAGATAGTTGAAATCACTTGCAAAACCGTATTTATGTACAGTAAGTCAGGAAGAAGTATACGAAGACAAATTATTTTGAAGCCAAGGTTGAACTTTAAACGAATTGAAAATAACAGAGAACTGACAATAGGGTCAAATGAAGCACCAGGGAATAAGCCTAGATAGGTACCAGAATAGATAGTTAAAATCACTTTCAATAAAGTGTTTTAAGTTAAGAAAAAGGACTTATTGTTAAGCCAAGGTTGAACCTTTAAACAAATTGTGAAATTAATTTGCCATTCTCTTTTTGCCTTATAAATAACATTGAGAAATCGGGGGTATGTTAAAGGCGTGACATTAAGAAGATTATCAGTTCTTAAATCGAATAAAAGTTCACAAAAAACCCCAGAGCTATATGCACTCTTCGCGATCGCCGATAAATCAAAATCTGTGTTTAATTCATTGAGAAATAAACTGGTGAATTGGTTTTATTTTCCTAATATCAAATTAAATCCCTCCCAGTAGTATAGGTTGCAGTAGGTTATAGGTTGTTTAGGATATTTCAATTCTAAATGGATATGTATCACCTCTAATAGAAGGAATTACAAAGGGATTACAATACAACCCGAGAGTATTACACACGAAAAAAAGACTTCTCTACTGCCACGTTAAGAGTTCAATCAATTCAATTTAGATATTCATCACTTAGTGAACTAAACACTGGGCGGCCCTAGGCGCATTAATCTTTATTTGTGAGTATAATAACTTTTGAAGAATGACTCCCTGAACACCGATACTTCCTGACGCAAGAGATATACACTGTTGCTTTGTAGATTGGTATTGATGCCCCAAGCGTTTCTTGTGCGGAGGTTCCGATTTGAACGGAATCGCGACGTTTCTGTTTGTTTTGCGCCATGCAAATACAAAGACATCAAATTGACTTAACTTTGATCTTTTCTCCGAATAAATAGATGATACTTCATGAAATTTATTTATATTGTTTCATAATAAGGTTTTTCCATCACGACTTTAAATAAAAGTATATTTGATTTGACTGTTTGCCCATTTAGTTATGGTTCAATTCATTAATGATTTATCTTCTATCATGTCAAGTAGCATTTCACTTAAGAAAACGATTATCAATATCATAAACGTGTTAAACGTTCTAGGATAAATATCATAATAAACTTAAAGCCACTTAACACCGGATTAACTAATATTACTAAGCCAATAAAGCTTTATCCTCAGGCGTACCATTATCATTGAAGACAAACGAAATACCAATTGAGTGCAGTGATACCCCTATTTTATCAAATTCTGGTTTTGTTTAGCCTATCCTGTATTAGATTCCGGAATAAATATCTACTGACAATAGCAGAATCAATTCCTGGAAAGAAGGATAAATCTTATTGCAAATATCTATATTTGGAGGCAGGCTACAATTTATAATTTATAAAATGTTAATTCTGGTCTCTTCGTCCGGCTCCAACTTTTCCCCAAATATTCGTTTGGGCGCTGTTCACCACAGACAGCGCAGCAGATACACGAACTTGAAATAGTATACTTAAAACATGTAACTATCCGCCATACATATCACCGTAACCAACCGCTTAACTATGTTATCCTTCCGCCTCTAAACCATGAATATTTACCAAAACCTTCGAGACAATTTTAATTCAAACCCTCTTCTTCGATACTAGACCAAACAATCAACACAAATGGCCATGCAAAAGGGGAGAAAAGGGGGAGAGAAAATTGGAATATGTAGCCGAATTGCAATTGTGGTCTGAATATATCTATAAAGACTTTAAGAGGTCAAGATCTTATTCATAAGGCCTACTCAAGATTTCGTCAAGGTCGCTGAGATGTAAATAAGGTTAGGGCTAGGGCTAGGTTGAGGTTTACGGTTGGGATTAGCGCTAGCCCTGTTTGTATCTCGTGACCTTTGACCAAACTTGAAGTTGATCTTAGGAAATAGATCTAACTTAATAAAGGGTAATGTATCCAGCAGCCATTTATACAGAAATAGATCTAACTTAAAGAAGGGTAATGTATCCAGCAGCCATTTATACAGAAGACGGTGAAATTTAATTGTGGTCTGAATCCATTTATTATGGACTTAAAACGGGGTTGGGTATCCAGCAGCCATTTATACAGAAGACGGTGAAATTTAATTGTGGTTTGAATCCATTTATTATGGACTTAAAACGGGGTTGGGTATCCAGCAACCATTTATCGAGAAGACGGTGAAATTTAATTGTGGTCTCAGCCATTTATTATGGATTTAAAACGGGGGCTACGTATCCAGCAGCCATTTATCCTATTGTGTCCTTGATCCCCGAATAAATATCTTCTGGGAATATCATCAGAATTAATTCCTGGAAACAGTGATAAATCTTCATTCAAATTTTTCACCACACCAAATTGATTTACTGTTCTTCAGGCGTGTTGATAAAAAAAAATATTAGCCACTTGAATCATGTCAAAGGTGTTTTGTTTAAAATTTAAATTTCAAAACTTAAAAATTTGGAAGTCTTTTGAACAGCATAGACAGGTAAGTCATTTCCATGAAAAATAAAAAGGACAATTTTTGCAGAAAATCATATTGGTCTGGCCTAAAGCTAAAGCGAGGTTGCGTACCCAGCAGCCATTTATCAAAACTTGGTATGCATCTATCAATATAATTCAATCGGTGCACGTCAAGATTTCATCAATATAAAGATGTAACACAGAAACCGCAATCTGTACAGCGGAATAACCGTTCTCGGCTCTAGGGAACACTGAATCGTTTAATCATTCCTGTGTGTAAACCGGTCATATATTATGCGCAAAGATTGCTTCCCAATTAGAGTAGTTGATTGAAATACCACGCAGTAATTGCTTTTCATTCTTCCAGGCGGACATATAAAATGTTTTCTTGTTAAAAAGCCACAGTAATCCGATCTTTCTTCCACAAGATTTATTTTATGAATTTCGTCAGCTTTTGGGAAAACGATATTTGAACATCTTTAGACATCGTGATAATAGGAAAGTAAACTAAAACGACATATATAGCAATATTGGTACATAAGCCATTATTCAAAGAATTTAATCTAGAGAGAGGGAGAGAAATGGGGTCTAACGTCCATTCAACACAAACTAGGTAATTTCTGGACTAACATATGGTTCAATTTTATTTCAATAATTCGTTTGCGCGTAGGGGTCTTTGGTTCAATTTTATTTCTATATTTCGCTTGCGCGTAGGGGCTTTGGCTGTGGGGGGAAACCGGAGTACCCTGAGAAAACATACGAGGTTGGACAGGCGACCCTTGTCACGTACAAGCGGGAATCGAAACAACCACTTACGATACAATGGTTATCCCCCCAGAAAAAAAAACCATAACAAAACAATTAATCTAACCAACTCAAACTGTTGTACTTTTGAATTTGATAGGGTAGAGGTACATTTGCTTATGTGGAGACTTAACCTCTCCCCCAAATTCTTAAACCTAGCCCTAACCCACAACCTCGCCAATATTTATATACTTTAACCCTGTTTACATCTCGCGACGTTGA